TCAAAAAATCCCTCAACTAATAGGAATTTTATTGGGTAGCACCAACATCCATAAAGATTATAAGAATTCACGAGTCTTCAAGAGTATAACCCAATATAACAATTTCACCTAAAATGAATCAAAAATTACACTTCCATCGTCATTGAGCAACTTGTTGTTGGCCATTTTCATTGGCAAATGGATAGAAAGTAATTGTGTAGTTCAATTTCAGTTTTTATAAGTAACTGATCTGCTCTTAATCAAACCAAACCAATAAGAAAGTAAGTTTTAATTTTTTGCATAAGAACATAAGCTTTAATCTAAGATAACACTTGAAACTTGTTGCAACATTATAGTTACAACAAACTTTCATTCATATGTTTGTTATAGCATTTTGTTTTGTAAGATTTAATTGTAACGACCGAAAATGAAAGTGATATTTTGTTTTTTAAATAACAAAAAAGGTTGTTGGTCATATTAGAAAATAAAGAGCTACATGGTCATGTAACAGACCGATTACTTTTTTTAGAAATATTTTATGCCATGTGAAAGTACATCAATATTATTTGAAGAAAAAAATAGGATGCTATAACAAAAAGTAGATGAATTCAGAATTTAGAGCATGTCAAAGTACAATGCTAATTCTTAAAATATAAAAAAGCGGGATGCTAAAACCCATAAAATTTTAACTTGTTATCAATTTAGAACTCTTATTATATCAATTTCAAGTTCATGAAAAAGAAATGGTATCACTAGAGATGACTTTTAATTAGAATTCATAAGTTCTATTTGTTAAATAATTTCATTCTTTCTTACACTCACATTTTTTTGGTTCAACTACCTCTTATTCAGCCATCATACAACCAATTAAGGTCACCCAACTTTGATGTTGTTATCGGTGTTGGAAAGGGAAATTGTGGAATCGTTCAATAATGTGACACAAATGGATAAAGCAGTTTTTTGCTATGAATGTTCATTTATAATTTGGTCAATTCACTTAAAAATAGTTGTTACTTGTCAAAACCAATGTAAATTTTAAAATAGATTACTTTCATTCATTTTGATTGGGAAACTTATAAATGTTGATGTATTGAAATGGTTATTACATTGCTTTGAAGGACGAATTGGCCAACTGCCCTAATTTTAGAACAATCTAATGACACATCCCCTTGTGGCATCAGCCTAAATGCCAATGATGGCCTATATTTACAAAACACAATTTTTGGTTATAAAAGAAAACTATATAATATTTTATAAATGATAATGATGTAATATGGTTTAAGGTCAATCTAGTGATTGATCTACATACCTTCTAGCAGAAATGTGATCTATTGCACCCTTGTATGAAGAAGAATATAAAGCAGCAAGAAACAGACGCAAGGCCACCAGTAGCATGGTTAGGTGCCTTCCCTTTTAAAAATAAAAGATGTCAATAATTTGAAATAATACCTACTACATAAAATGAATTACATATTTGTTTTTGCAATCAGCACGGTCTCTATTCTCAGGCAATTTAAGAAGCCCTTCTAGTAGCTGGAAACATAGATCACACGAAATCAGTTGATATGTAGCAAAATGTTTTTTTAGGTGCATCACAATGTGAAAAAGAAAGCATAACAAAACCTGATCCATAAATAGAATGTTACTGCAACATCTGAGTTATAGAAGATTTGATTTGATACATTTTTGCTAGAACTTCATCGGACTCATCATGTTCTGTTCACCACCTGATGGATTGAATTCTAAATTAGCCCTGTCACATGGTACCGAAACTGAATAAAAAAAGTGAATCTAAGTTTTAAAATATATATATATATATATATGAAAAAAGAGGTTAAAATTTGAAGTTACTTACATGTGGAGGTGGAAGGAGTTGTACATATATCGTTGTCAGTAAACCGATGAAAGAATTCAACTGTCTAATTTAAACTCAATGCTAGTGAAAGAACATGACAAGCCAATACCAAAAGCAAAAGGCAAGTGTAAAGATCCCTAATAGCAAATAATTTACATGATGCCACTCATAATAGCAAGACAAAGGGAACGTAGCTGCACAACACGATGCCAAAATTTCTAATTTTCTACATAATTTAAACCCTAATTTCAAGGAAATTGAAGGTATTCAATAGTATAATTGCATAATTTCATATGTATGTATTACCTTCTTCACATGCTGAAGCATGCCAGGTAGAGTTACCGCCCTAGTTGGACCATCGCCGCCTTTTCGTGCCCTTTACCACCATCTCCGAACGCCGCCGCTGAGCCATTTTGCTTAGCGTGACTGGATTAGAAGAAAAGAGGGGAGAATATCATCCTGGAAAAGAAATCAAGGCTGTAGGAATTTGGAGAAACAGAGATAAACGAAGATGGTGGAACAGGAGGGAATATAAAGTGATGGGTGGTGGAAGGGTCGGGAAGTAAAAACCGTAAGTCCTTCGGTAACCCGATGTATAGAATCCAAAAGAAAAAAAAGGAAAAAAAGAGAAGGAATTACCTGGAGAAAGACGAAAGATATAAAGGGAAACAAAGAAAGAATGACGACGAAGATGGAGGATGAGTGACCATGCAGGAGAAGATGATCCTATAACAAACACGTTGAAAAGAAAAGATAAGGAAATTAGAAGCCAATGAGAAAAGAAATCAATGATTTGTTGTAAAGAAGGAAGAAGGAGATGTAATGCAAAGCAGTCAAGTGTTACATATGCGGATAAAAGCCATTGGAGGGCAGAGGTGGTGGAAGATACGTGTCTATGAGACGCATAGATCGATACACCCACTTCCAAATAACCAAAATTGGCAACATTAAAATTGGAGAGACCAAAACACGTGGAAAGCAAACGAGTGTGAAAGAAACAAAAAAAAATCAACCAATAAAAATCAAGAACCGTTCACAAAGAAATGACTTATTGTTTGTTGATAATAACCCTAGAATTAAAGTACATGAAACATAACTTAAGTGGCTAATTACTATCACTATTACATTTGTACAAACATCAATGTTATGGTTCCAAAAGTACATGCATTACGTTAAAGCATATTATATATATATATATATATATATATATATATATATATATATATATATATATATAATAACCCTAGAATTAAAGTACATGAAACATAACTTAAGTGGCTAATTACTATTACTATTACATTTGTACAAACATCAATGTTATGGTTCCAAAAGTACATGCATTACGTTAAAGCATAATATATATATATATATATATATATATATATATATATATATATATATATATATATATATATATATATGTATATATATATAACATTGATGTTTGTACAAATGTAATAGTGATAGTAATTAGCCACTTAAGTTATGTTTCATGTACTATAATTCTAGGGTTATTATCAACAAACAATAAGTCATTTCTTTGTTTTCAAAATCCATTAGTTTTAAAAGTATTATAAATCATCAACATGATCACATATCATTGGTATATAAGAAAAGAACACACATTTTTGCAAACTAAGGAAGTGAGCTTGGAGTTCAAAAATGCAGAATTTCAAACACTTTTCGATTTTCAAACTTATTTTTTTTTTGACAAAATACAAGTTTGAAAATTTATTTTTCTGTTAAAATCTAAATTTTTTGAACTTAATTATGTGTTTCAAGCATAATTTTCAAAAAAAAATCTAGTTTGAAAATATAAATCTCAAACTCTTTATGAATTTTGAATATAAATTTCGAACATCTTCGTTTACATGTAATTTTCAAACATGTTCTTCAAATATTTTCTAAGCAAAATGAAAAATTCGTCTAATATAACATATTATTGGCCATGAAAAGAAAAGAATAAGAGAAAGTAGAATATACCGTATGATCGCTAGAAGATTCCAAACAATATGAGCCACAAAGAAATGGTTATTACACTTTATACCGGAAAAAAGATATACTGTTGACTTCCATTTTATATTATTTATCATTAACTAAACAAGTCTTGTCAGCAAATAATTTTAATAAAATAATATATTATCATGAATACATACAAGCCAAAGAAATCGTTGAGGCTATAGGTAAATTTCTAAATTTACATAGTTTACATGTTTAAATTGTGTTCAGCATTGTTGTTCTCAGACATATTTTTATTTTTTGGTTTATAATGCTTAAAATAAATTTATTATTTATTTATAATTAATTTAAATATATAACAGATATTATACACTTTGCTTTTTCGATTCTTATATGTTCAAAATCGTTCTTTCGTTTTGGTACGGTCATATCCGAATCTGTTTTCTACTACTTCACAACCCCACCCAACTACAAGAGTTATTCTTGTATATTATTTTAAAAATATATTTTAATATTTTTAATAAAACTCCTAATTTTTAATTTACTACAAAACAGAAATTTGCAGGAAGACTCATTTGTGATAAACTGACAATGGGTTTTAAATGTTTGGTTGCTAGTTTCAGGATCGATTATTCCTATGAATACGATCTTTCTCTTTTCAAAGACCCTTAATTTAGAGGTAATGACATAAAACCCCCTGACATTTAAGTATATCCCTAACAGAGTTGTGGTAATTTTTTTCTTTGTGAAAAGAGATATACGAGTCATTATAATATTAGGTGTTTGAAGAAGAAAAATCACTTAAATGTAAAAAAAAGTTTTGTGTCAATTCAGAATAAAAAAAGAGTTGGAGTGCCAAAAAAGAGCAATCTATAAACTTAAAGATCTTTTAGCAATTCACCCCAAAACCGATATTCTCAAATAGTTGAAGCCCTTAACTGCCATTTCCAAACTCTTCCTCTGTTCTTATGCTTCTTCCCCCAGAAATTCTATAAACCGTTCACAAAATCCCACTTTTCATCGAAATTTATATTTTCTCGTCAAAAACAGACACCTCCACATGTTTCTTTGCATCCAGAAACACATGCAATCAGTTAATTCAAAGTCAAACTTCAAAATTTTGGGAAAAGATCAAACTTAGTTTAGTCTAATTTGGTGTTCAATCTGCTATTTCCTGATCGATTTCCACTTCGATTCATATATAGAGATGTTGTGTGTAAATTTCTGTTGTTGTTTTAGCTGAATTCGAAGGTTTGTTGTTCAATCATTAATGCATTCGGTAACTAACAGTTCTACTGTCGGCGCTCTCAAGTTAAGCAGCGATAATAATCGTAATCTGAAGACGGATAACCCTAGCAGAAGAAAAGCTAAATTTAAAGTTTCACCTCAGAGTTCAATTATGAGTCCGCCGTCGGCTACTACCGCGTTATCTCAACCAAAGGTTGTCACCGGCGACTATGGCTACGTACTTGAAGATGTTCCTCATTTGACCGATTACATCCCTGATCTTCCAGTATGTTCTATCGCTTTTATTTCACATCCCCCCCCCCCCCCCCCCCCCCCCACACACACACACACACACATGATTGATCGTATGCTCTTCGTTAGATTCACTAAAATTTATTAAAACCATGATTTCTTTTGGGCAAATTAGTTTGAGGCACTTTTTGGGAATTTTGATTTATTTCCATTAATCATGCCTGTCCGATGAAGGTTGCTCACCAATTTTGTCATCTTAAAATTTCTTCTGATTATTGATTAGTTTTTATCAATTCATTTTTTATGCTGATTTGTTGGGACCAGAGTAGGTGAGTTTGAAATTGGTGTCTAAGTTTACAAGTAAATCAACTATCATAATTATAGTTCAAAATTTTCGTTATAAACAATAAACTAAAGTTAGGCATACTTCAATTCTGGTTACCTTTTAGCAAGCAGAAACATACACACACACACACACACACATATATATATATATATATATATATATATATATATATATATATATATATATATATATATATATATATATATATTCAAGCCTCCTCATCTTTCCCATGTGAAGAGACTCGAATCTAATCATGCTTACAAGAAGATCATATCTTTAGATGTAGCGTATCTTATTGATATTTATGTGTATGATTTATTGCAGACATATCCAAATCCCCTTCAAGATAATCCTGCATATGCAGTGGTCAAGTAAGTTGATAATCTTGTCACTTCTAAGCATTTCCCTCTTTGTTTTCAAGGCTAAATTTGGCATAGAGTTCATTCTTAATTTCCTATACCATCTCTTATGTTTTCTCAGGCAGTATTTTGTAGATATGGATGACACCATTGCTCAGAAGGTCAATACTTTGATACTTTACATTCAATATTAGATTCTTGAACGTTTTTATCATGTAATACTTAACAAAATTTAATAGTATGTTCTTATGTCACCCTTTTTTGTCTTTTTTACAGATTGTAGTTCATGCCAATAGTCCTCGTGGCATACATTTTCGACGTGCTGGGCCCCGCCAAAAAGTGTATTTTAAATCAGGTGATGTTCATGCTTGTATTGTAACATGTGGGGGCCTATGCCCAGGTCTCAACACCGTGATTAGAGAAATAGTTTGTAGTTTACATGATATGTATGGAGTTACAAGAATCGAAGGGATTGAAGTAAGTAAAAACTCTTTCAACTTTCCTTCACAAAAAACTTGTTTTTTTAGTATGATTTTAATTATATACTACTTTAATTCATATGCAGGGTGGATACAGAGGATTTTATTCCAGAAATACAATCCCATTAACACCTAAAGTTGCTAATGGTATTCATAAACGAGGTGGCACCATAATCGGGACATCACGAGGTGGCTATGATAACAAAAAGATAGTCAATAGCATTGAAGATCGTGGAATTAATCAGGTTATTATATAATCTATAAATCACCAAAAACAAGTAATATTACTAATTTTTTTGTTATATATATAAGTATAACCTTGATTGTTTTGTGTATTTTAGGTATATATAATAGGTGGAGATGGAACACAAAAAGGGGCGTCTGCTATCTACGAGGTTTGTTTTCTAATTTTCTTATGAATTATGATCTTCAAATTGAAACAAAATTAGATATTTTTAATGAAGAAAAGTGTAACCATTTTTTTTTTGTATTTATACAGGAAGTTAGAAGACGGGGTCTTAAAGTTGCTGTTATCGGGATTCCAAAAACTATCGATAATGACATTCCGGTACTTTAAATTGGAGTATTGTCGGTTTTAGTCCTTCGTCTCCTAAATTCATTTACTTTGATCTTTTTTTTTTATAGATTATTGATAAATCATTTGGATTTGATACTGCTGTTGAGGAGGCTCAACGTGCGATTAACGCAGCACATGTTGAGTCAGAGAGCAACGAGAATTGTATAGGACTCGTTAAGTTAATGGGACGTAATAGTGGTATGTTTTATAAAACAATTTTAAAGAATTAAATTAAATGAACAATAAAAGTTAGTGTTTGTGGTTAAATTTTTTAAAATATTTATGCAGGGTTTATTGCAATGTATGCGACTCTTGCAAGCCGAGATGTTGATTGTTGTTTGATCCCTGAGTCACCTTTCTATCTTGAAGGGCCTGGTGGTCTTTTTGAATATATAGAAAAAAGAATAAAAGAAAACGGGCATATGGTAATTGTTGTTGCAGAAGGTGCAGGACAAGAACTTGTGGCTGAGAGCTTACGAGCCACCGACAACAAGGATGCCTCCGGAAACAAGCTTTTAGACGACATTGGCTTGTGGTTATCTCAAAAGATCAAGGTATGTACAGTATACAGTACACAGCACACAGTACACAACATAAGACAATATAACAGGTTGTACTGTGTGTTAATAGGACAAAATTTTCAATGATTTTGTCAAACGATGGTACAAATTTTCTGATTTATTTATATAATCAGGGTCATTTCAAGAACCGAACGGAAATGGAAATCAACTTAAAATATATAGGTAATGAAGGGTATGTTCGTCATTTTACCTACATGATTGGATGACGCAGTCGATAAACAATTTTTATTTTTTAAATGACAGATCCTACGTACATGATTCGAGCTGTTCCAAGTAACGCATCAGATAACGTTTACAGCACTCTTCTCGCTCAAAGTGCGGTTCATGGAGCCATGGCTGGATACACCGGGTGCACTGTGGGCCCGGTCCACGGTAGAGAATGTTACATACCGTTTTACGTAAGTTGAAATTACAATTATATCCTTGAAAAAGTTTTGGGTGAAAGTGAAACCTAAGCGAGTTGAGTTTTGCAGAGAATCACGGAGATGCAAAACAAGGTTGTGATAACGGATCGGATGTGGGCCAGGATGTTGTCTTCAACGAATCAACCGAGTTTTTTAAATACAAAAGATATTATAGAGTCTATTATGGATGAAGCACCGCCAACTCAGCTGCTTGATGACCAGGTGGCGGATAACGGTGTGGTGAGCAAGGAAACAGGTGTTTGTTGATCGGATGGTTTATTGTTTTTGAGTTGGATGCAAGAAGTGGAATGAATAAGCAAGGGTTGGATGATGGATGACCCACCCGGCCACATGAAAAAATTATATATATATATATGTATACTTGTAGTTAAGCTTCATATCTCATGCATATAGGAGGATGGATGTCCGTTGTAGATTTTCTTGTAATTGCTTTGGTAAGCGACGACGTACGTGTGTCTAAAATAATGTAACTATACCCTCGAATCGATCTCTTCGTAGGGTTTACCTTTGCCCTTGTTTGATATATATATATATATATATATATATATATATATATATATATATATATATATATATATATATATATATATATATATATATATATATTAGCTAAAAAGACACCCTATTTTGCGAAAACGTAAAAACAAATTTTATCTTATAAAAGTCAAAACACATGTACTTTCTAAAATTAAAGTTGATTATCGTTATGCAGTTCAAAGTTTGGATGAATTGTTATCCAAAATATAAAGTTGAGGTGTCACAATTTCATAAATTTTTCTTCTTTTTGTGTTTTCGCAAATTATTTGTATTTTCGTATGAACCCTCCCTTTATATATATATATATATATATATATATATATATATATATATATATATATATATATATATATATATATATATATATATATATAGTATAATGGGGACAACAAGTATAGTATGGTCATAGTAATGACTCTAAACCAATGGATGAAAAAAATGGATTTGATTTAGGTTGCATGATATTAAAATGGGAGATCATGTATAATATAAAATCATTAATATCCTTATAAGGGTATTTTAATCATTTAAACTAGAAAAGGTGCCCCGCGTTGCGGGGTTGGATAGTATCAACAGATTGAAACAAAAGCTACAAAATCACAAAATAGAAATCAAAATAACCACCATTGCCTACTTACAATAGTAAAATAAACCACGAATCACATACAATACAACAACCAATATTCAACAAAATAACAATGTACTTCCATTCATTTGTTTATTACAGATTTATAGCATCCCAAAAAACAAAATTAGGATAAATTTGTAAAAAGTTGAAACTTTGGAAAAAAAAAATGAGGGAAGTGGGAAGTGGGAGTAAAACTAAAGACATAAGATGAAATCAAACAACATACACCAAGAAACTTTTTTAAATCCCTTCCACATGCAATGTTCCTAAGCAATCCGAAGAAACTTGTCTTCAGGAATGCGAACTTTAGGGATACGTGGAGGAGATCTGTAGTTGCATCAATCAATAAATGATGGATTCTGCAACCCCTTCTGTGTAAGCAAACACAAATTAGAAAACCCAACAACTTCCTGATTCTTAGTTGAATCCACATACAACCATAAATAGCAAGAGGGACAAAAACATACGAAAAAGCCATTAAATATCCTGATTCAGGAGAGGAGTCACTAAGCCTTTCAGCACCTTATGTATCTCTCCTCACACTATGCCCATTGGTATTCACCTTGACTTAAATAAAATAGAGTTTGAAAAACTAAATCCTTAAAATAAATATTAAATAACCATCAATAGTCACAACAAGCATCTTTCTCTTAAGTCTCCAACCAATATGTATTAAATCCTTTTTAGTCATAAAAACCCCCATGGGATGATGGGTCATCACAAAAGCTCAAATCACTATCATTAATTAAAATATAAATTTCAAGAAATCAATAAAACCTCTCATAAATGATCTACTTCAGCTTCTAAAGAGTTGTAACTGAATTTTACACACACAAACGCACAAAAGTCCAGTTATCATGCTCTAGGTTTGACTATAGTTCAGCTAGAAAAATGAATTTTGTTAGAATATGGAGTGAAACTGGACTCAAATCTCAAACCAAAAGAAAAGAAAAAGACCATACTATAATCTAATCATTTGAAGTTCTTGTTGGTGTCCTACACCAGGTAGATGTGGGACCACATCTATGCTTTTTTTGAAAAAAAAGAAACTCAAAAAACAAATCTTGCTCTTTCAAGACCCTTTTGAAGAGAAAAAATAAAAATCAAAACCACGCATATCTGGTAATTCCAACGCCCTACTTACATTACCCTAGCAACTATCCTGTAATTTGTAAGGAAAGTGAATGGTATAAACTATAAAATACAATAATAGGTACAATTTGAAATATACCACCTTCAATCATGATGGCTTCTCCTTTGAACATGTTGGTTGATAAAATTGTCTGCTTGCAAAGGATATTTTTTTCCTTATACACGCCTTCACACATTTCCAATATGAAAAGTCAACCATTTCTCCATTCATACGAACAATAAATAGACATCTTGAACTTTCAAAATCTAGATGGTGTCCAACCTGTATGGTATTTTCAATTCATGGCATCACAAGAAAAAAGTTTGAGTTAATTCCTATGAGTTTTGGATTATAAAAATGAGGTGTTTTGCTATGATAGTGAAAATATATCACTAAATACAGAAAGAAATTAGAACAAAGTAAACATAAGCAAGAAACGCATAGGCAAAATCCAAAAGGATGGAGTCTTGGAGTCATTTGACCTAAAGTCAGATGATAGTTGTGAATCTTGTTTGCTTGGGAAAATGAAAAAATCACCCTTCACTGGTACTTGTGCTAGGGGTGAGGGTTTGTTGGACCTCGTACATAATAATGTGTATGGACCCTTTAGAACCGCCACAAGGGATGCTAACCACTTCTATGTGACTTTTACTGATGATTATAGTAGATATGGATATGTCTACTTAATCAAGCATAAGTCAGAAACCTTTGAAAAGTTCAAGGAGTTTAAACAGGAAGTGGAGAATAAACTAGGTAGGAACATTAAGATACTTCGATCTGATCGAGGTGGTGAGTATCTTAGTACAAAGTTCCTTGAACATCTAAAGGAATGTGGGATTGTCTCACAGTTGACACCTCCCAGAACACCACAGCTTAATGGTGTGGCTGAGAGGCGTAATCGAACCTTGTTGGACATGGTTCGTTCCATGATGAGTCGAGCTTCACTACCAATCTCATTCTGGGGGTATGTCTTAGAGACTGCAACCCATTTTCTTAATCTATTCCCTACCAAAGAGGTTACCAAAACACCTCACGAGACGTGGACTGGAAAATTTCCCAATCTGGACCAAATCAAGATTTGGGGTTACGAGGCTTTCGTGAGGCGTGAGACTCACGATAAGCTCGAGCCTCAAAGTGAAAGGTGTATTTTCATCGGCTACCCACATAAATCCTTCGGTTACCTCTTATATAGACCCAGTGACAATGTGGTCTTTGTATCAAGGAGGGGAGTCTTTCGCTAGAGAGAGTTCATAAGCCAAGGAAACAGTGGGAGGCAAATTGACCTTGAAGAAATTTAAGAGTCAATTGGTGAAGGAACCTCAAACCCTAACAATCAAACTGAGGAGGTAACTCCTGTTGATCCGACTGACGAGTCTGTACATCTGAGGCATTCCATGAGATTTAGGAGTGCACCTGAGCATTACTATGGTTTCCATATTACTGCGGAAGGTGATACACTTATTAGTGATAACACACTGGTAAGTTTGGATGAACCTAACAGCTACACGGAAGCCATGGCAGGCCCTGAGGCTGCTAAATGGAAAGAGGCTATGGACAGCGAGATACAGTCCATGTATGACAATCAAGTTTGGAACTTGGTTGACAATGTACTAGATCGTAAGACAGTCGGGTGCAAATGGATCTTCAGGAAGATCCCGGGCATGGATGGTAATGTAAACACTTATAAGGCGTGACTGGTTGCAAAGGGCTTTTCTCAAACTCTGGGAGATGATTATGATGAGACCTTCTCACCAGTAGCAAAGATTAAATCTATTAGGGTTATGTTAGCCATTGCTGCATTTCATGATTATGCAATATGGAAAATGGATTTCAAAACCGCTACCCTTAATGGAGGGGTTGGCTGAGGATGTTTACATGAGTCAGCCAAAGGGTTTTGTCTGCACAGAGTACCCTAATAGAGTGTGTAAGCTTGATAAATCCATCTATGGATTGAAACAAGCACCTTGCAGAAAGAATCTTTGTTTCGATGAGAAAGTAAAAGAGTTTGGTTTTTCGAGGAGCGAAGATGAATCTTGTGTATATGTCAAGGCTAGTGGGATTATAGTTAGCTTTTTGGTATTGTATGTGGATGACATACTACTCATAAGAAATGACATCCCAACTTTGCAGGAAGTAAAGTCCTGGCTTGGGAAGTGTTTTGCTATGAAGGACCTTGGAGAAGCTGCCTATATCCTAGGGATAAGGATTTTGAGAGATAAGAGTAAGAGACTAATTGGACTTAGTCAGAGTACCTACTTGGATAAGGTGCTGAATAGGTTCAGCATGCAGAATTCCAAGAAAGAAGAGTTACTGATCCAGAGTAACGCCAGATTGAGTAAGACTCAGAGCCCAAGTACAGAGGCTGAGATAGTTGAGATGAGTTAAGTACCGTATGCTTCCGCTGCAGGCTCGATCATGTATGCTATGACTTCTACTCGTCCTAATGTGGCCTTCCCATTGAGCATGGTCAGCATATATCAGGGGAACCCTGGCAAGGCTTACTGGACTACGGTAAAGAACATTCTGAAGTACCTGCGGAGGACTAAGGATTGGGTCCTTACCCTCGGGGGGGGGGGGGGTGATGACTTGAGAGTAGTAGGATATAGTGATGCTAGCTTCCAGACTGATAGGGATAATTTCTGCTCTCAATCAGGTTGGGTCTTTACCTTAAACGGAGGAACAATTACTTGGAAAAGTTCCAAGCAGGAGACAGTGGTTAATTCAACTTGCGAATCAGAGTATATAGCAGCAAGAGAGGCAACGAAGGAGGCTATATGGCTAAAGAACATCATTGGAGACCTTGGAGTTGTACCAGCTATAAAGGAGCCTATGGAAATTTTCTGTGATAGTGAAAGTGCAGTTGCCTTAGCCAAGGAACCAAGGGATCACGGGAGATCCAGACACATCGACAGGAAATACCATTTCATCAGACATCAAATAGAAGAAGGACTCCTCATGGCAAACAAGGTATCATCGGATGAGAACCCAGCAGATCCCCTCACGAAGGGACTGGGTAGGGTTAAGCATCTTCAGCATACGAGGCGCATAGGGCCAAAGGATGATATTAGTTTTAGAAATTAGATAGCTTTTGAAATTTGTAAAGTGTAATTGACATTTGATGATAAATAAAGTTGTTGTATATTTATAAGTATAAGTGTTGCTATCTTTTGTCAATCGTTTACTATCATTTCAATTTTGCATGTTTTGACTTCCAGAATTATTATGTTATGGTATATCATATTATTCAAATTCTCCACAGTCGGTCATATGTCGGAAGTAGATATGATGAGTCGGCTTGTAGATGTCTAAGTTGTTCGACATAGCAA